ATATATTAAACTAGGATAGTTGGGTGCTTGCCACCCCTTTAACTAGTAATAGACATAACTATATGTACATATATTAAACTAGGATAGTTGGGTGCTTGCCGCCCCTTTAACTAGTAATAGACATAACTATTTGTACATATATTAAAATAGGATAGTTGGGTGCTTGCCGCCCCTTGAACTAGTAATGGACATAACTATATGTACATATATTAAACTAGGATAGTTGGGTGCTTGCCACCCCTTTAACTAGTAATAGACATAACTATATTGAACTAGGATAGTTGGGTGATTGCCGCCCCTTTAACTAGTAATAGACATAACTATATGTACATATATTGAACAAGGATAGTTGGGTGCTTGCCGCCCCTTTAACTAGTAATAGACATAACTATATGTAAATATATTGAACAAGGATAGTTGGGTGCTTGCCACCCCTTTAACTAGTAATAAACATAATTATATGTATATATATTAAACTAGGATAGTTGGGTGCTTACCACCCCTTTAACTAGTAATAGACATAACTATATGTACATATATTAAACTAGGATAGTTGGGTGCTTGCCACCCCTTTAACTAGTAATAGACATAACTATATTGAACTAGGATAGTTGGGTGATTGCCGCCCCTTTAACTAGTAATAGACATAACTATATGTACATATATTGAACAAGGATAGTTGGGTGCTTGCCGCCCCTTTAACTAGTAATAGACATAACTATATGTACATATATTAAACTAGGATAGTTGGGTGCTTGTCGCCCCTTTAACTAGTAATAGACATAATTATATGTACATATATTAAACTAGGATAGTTGGGTGCTTGCCGCCCCTTTAACTAGTAATAGACATAATTATATGTACATATATTAAACTAGGATAGTTGGGTGCTTGCCACCCCTTTAACTAGTAAAAGACATTGAACTAGTAATTTTTAAATTATAAATATTACTTTACTTGCAACCAGTCTTATTGGGATGCAGGGGATACAGGTGACACAGGGGATACAGGGGATACAGGGGATACAGGGGATACAGGGGGTACAGGATATACAGGGAATACAGGGGATACAGGATATACAGGGTATACAGGGGATACAGGGGATACAGGGGATACAGGATATACAGGGAATACAGGGGATACAGGATATACAGGGAAAACAGGGTATACAGGGGATACAGGATATAAAGGGAATACTGGGTATACAGGGGATACAGAATATACAGGGTATACAGGGGATACAGGGGATACAGGATATACAGGGAATACAGGGGATAAAGGATATACAGGGTATACAGGGGATACAGGGGATACAGGGGATACAGGGGATACAGGATATACAGGGAATACAGGGTATACAGGGGATACAGGATATACAGGGGATACAGGATATACAGGGAATGTAGGGACACAAGGATAACAGAGAAAGACACGGGTAGATAGATAGATAGATAGATAGATAGATAGATAGTTTCTCCGATATCGGAGCCTGTAAGTCACGTAGTGCCGGGACGTGACTAGAATCTTGACTCCGATAGCACAATACTAGCTAATGGAAGGTCAGTGCTACAACGGAGAAACTTAAATCAACGGAGAG